TTTAACGGAAATTAAAGCATTTGCATTACTTCGATAATGCTTGATGAATGTAGAAAGAAAAGGGGGGAAACTCAAGCAATTTAGTTCTTGAAATATGAAACTTTGCATGGTTATGTAGTTAGAATACATTATAAGCAATAAGAATACAACATTAAATTTGTGATGGCTACATCGGAAATACATTTCATACGTGATGGTTTGAGTGTTTTTTCAAACAGGCGAAAAACACGAAAATTTTGTTTTAATATGTTTGTAATATATGAAACATGTACTATATAAAAACACCATACGCTATCAACGGAAATGCCCTAAGCTACAATATGGAACCAAAGTTTCTAATTCGGAAAAAGCGCAGTGAGTAAATTTTATCATGACATTTTACTATCAAAGTTACCCGCATTATCAAAGATACCCCGTTTTACGGTACTCATAAATGGGTATATATTGACTCATCTAATAGGTAGTCCTAGTTTCGGTCGAAATGCTTACTTTGTAGTCAATTTTGGTATTCGGGGGTAATCGTGTATATATGCTCATTATGCCCCGTACTACTAAAATTGGGACCCGTACAGAAGGCCGAACATATTCTAAGGTGCCACAAAAGGCCGAAAATCGAAAAGGCCGAAAACCAAAAAGGGCCAAAAATTTATCAAAAACTGAATTTGTTAAAAAACCGCATCCAAGCAATGTGTTAGTCGTTGGTCTTTCTGCTCGTTAGTCGGCTCGTTAAATGGTTTGCATTCACAAAAATAAAGCCAAGATGAAATTAGATGTACAGGTGTTCTCACTTGCTGACTTTTTGGGAAAAATCAGTAAGTGGTGAGCTGTGGGTAAAGAAATGAGAGATGCGATAGAGGTGGACGGTTTATTTACGCATACACAACATTTTGATTGGGTAGCGAGTTGCGCAAGCAGTTGAATGTGTGTAACTAGAACGTTCAGCAAAACGGACCAAGATCAATATCGCTGCTAATGACGATTTTTGATTTGAGAATACCTCTCATATTGAATTTTATCTTGAACGAAGCCATCATCATCATTGAATACTCAAACATCTAGAAAAATAAAGCTAACTATCACTTTCTCTCTCATTCAGCATCTGAAGCCTTTCTGCTCTTACAACTGAGTAACCTCGTTGAATGGTCCGCATTCACAAAAAACGAAGCCATCTTGTCATTAAATCATCGTTAAACACTCAAACATACATAATACTAAAGCTTAAAATTGAAGTTTTTTTTTTTAGTTTTCATTACGGATATCGAATGGCTATTAAGTACACAGAAAAAAAAAGTTGTTGAATATTACATCCAAACTGCTGCAACCAGGTCACCAATTGGCTACAAAGTTGACATGAATCAGTTAAGACCAAATCAATAGTTGAGGGATTTCTTTCTGAAGAAAAGCATGTTAGGCTGTTTGGATATTGAATAGTGTGATAACCTGCAGAACAATCATCAAACAGAATATAAATATTGGAATTGCTCTGAGCATTATTCCATGAGCGGTGTTTTGCATTAAAATCACCAATAATGAAGAATTTAGACCTATGACGGGTAAGTTTCTGAAGGTCACCCTTGAGAAAATTCTTTAGCTTGCCTACGCATTTGAAATGGCAAACGAGATGTGCAGCGAGTATTTCTCACTTCATTTTACAATGCAAAAACAAATACACACGGAAAAAAAAGTTGTTGAATATTACATCCAAACTGCTGCAACCAGGTCAATCCATCGGTTGCGTAATATAACGTTGTACGATGTACATCGATTTTGCGAACAAAATTACATCCATTGATGTAATATTGTATCTGCTTTTTGCTTTTACATCATTATTTCATACATCAGCTTGAATTGCATTGATCGATGTTACATTTTTTTGCTGTGTAGCTTCCATTATATTTTATTTCGAAGATGCAGAATAATAATTATTGTAACATTACTTTAATAATGTAACTTAATTTATTCATTTTCATTTTCAAGCACAGAAGGGGGTCATAGGGCCAAGTCACCAGCGAAAAATCGCTGTCCATACTGCACCAGGGTAGAGGTATAGATTTGGCATCACAGAATAATAACCACAGGGGTCAAATGAATCCTGTTTACGATACCGGATAGTAAGGAAAGCTGTTGAACATAGGGGATAGTCAGAGTAACAGCAATAATAGTGAAAGTTAGGAAAATAAGCAGGTAGAGATGGTTGATTTGCAATGGCTATCGACTCTGTTATATGGCCTACCGTATCAGATTCAAATTTAATGTCGTTTAATATTGCGCTTATTACTTTTATCTTTATTCTAAGCAATATCCTTTCATACTTGTTTGTTTTAAAGTGAACTGGATGAAATGATTGTTTTATCAAAATTATGTTAAAGTTAACTACTATTCATATTTGCTAATTAATACCTAAATGTAATTTTTAATTTTATGAAGATAAGTTGCTCAGAATAGCAGCCTCCAATTTAATGTCTTTTGTGGATTCGTAGTAGCAAAGTTGTGCTAAAAGCTAAATAGTTACCTAAAAATACTACCTAAATCGTTCACAATCAGAGCCGGGCCGCTGATGAAAACCAAAACTACAACCCTGAAAAAACGAATCGATATTTTCGAAGGCGAACATAACCTATTCTTGCTAGTGATTCTGTCCAATTGTTAGGTATCCAAATTATAGTCATTCGTAAATTTATTATTGAATATATGGATGAATTATCTATTATTGAATAACTATTATTTACGATAATTACATGAAAGAAATAACATATAAACTACAAACAGAACGTGACTACTAAAATCTCAAAACCATTAGACCAAATATTATAAATTAACAATATAATAATGTAACTTAATTTATTGAAAACAAATTAACAAAAACCCGAATCGGGAAAGCGACAAAGTGGACCGGTTCACTTTATCGCTTTCCCGAGCTTTTCGGCCTTTTGTGATTCGGCATTTTGTGTATTTCGGCCTTTCGTAGTACTATCCTAAAATATGCTACCGTTGTCGACTAATCTGAACACTGTATTGTTTAACGTCCAAATCAACTAATTTTACATTTTTTAATCATCGGTGATAAACGAAAAGGACTGCCTAAATGTTATAATTGTATTGCATCGTCTGCAAAAAAAAATTGTACATTGCTTAAGATATTAATTTCCCAAGGTACCTGATAGTAGCGAGAGTTAGCGACAATTTATTCAGATTATTTGAGAAGAAAGAAAAGAGAGCAAGAAAAAAGAGGGATTGATTTCTCATGAAAGTTTTCACTATTTAGGAAAATCAAAAAAAAAAGCTGTGGAAATTAAAGTCTGTAACACGGATTTTTATCAAAAAAAAATCATGTTTGGAAAAATTATAAATATAAGCTTTTTTTTCGGTGAACATTTCAAGATGATATCGTATACCATTTTTGAGATATGCCCGAAAAAAATATGACCGGTCTAGCGCTCTTATTTAAAAAATAAAATTGTTCTTTCTCCTCGCAAACCATACGTACGCAGCCCCGTAGGTCGCGTTGAGTCTCTCTTTCAAAACTAAATCAAACCATACATAATGTGTCAAAATAAAATAAGAGTGACTTGCGGCCATCCCGCTAGTACCACACCTAAACCCAAAGTCAGTGCCTTTACATAAACGTGCTGCGACATGGTTATCGAATAAAATATATACAGGTGTGATACTGTCACTAGCGGCTAGAACTTTGGTTATCTCAAGCCATATGGTTCATCAGAGACGGAAGGTTCACTAATCTACAACGCCTGCCCAGGACGGCACACTGCAACGACATGAGCTAGAGATGCCGGCTATAAACCCACCGGCTCCAACGCTTCATTATGCCATTAGATTAAACCCTCCCACCAACGTCAAGGTGCAAAAACTAGCCATGGGGAGGGCAATATCTAGCTTGATATTTTGTGTCATTATCACGCGTGGTATTGAGAGCGTATTAGAGCGAAAAAAAAATATAATTTTGCTAATTATTATACCATGACTGGGTGTAGGTAAATTTAATGTGTTTGGACATCTCCTGCTCGCAACTTTGTGTTTTGAACGCTTACGCAGTTGTTAATTGAGAACTTTCTACCAAGGTTACTTCGACTCGCAGTCGGTATAAAACAAATCTGAATTACTGAATCATTGGATGTTATGATGTTGTACTTGTAAGCTACAAGAAGAGGTTGTAAAGTATAAGTTTGTCACATTCAGAGAATCACAATTAACGATTTTATGATTCGTTACTGTTAATTTAGCGTTAAAAAAACACGAATCATAAAATCGCTGATCTGTTAATCATAAAATATAAAAAACCAGCTACGTAAAAAAAAAGGGAAAATACCCATCAACCCATATATGACCGACAATTTTTGTGCTGTTTTCTGCACCGTGTTATACAAATGGGAGCTGGGTACCCGGGTAATCCGTCGAGCATATAACGATTAGTGCGTCGGAGACGAGCCAGCCAACGGCTGAAAGTCTCCTTAATAAAGATATATATATAAAAAAAAATATATAACGATTAGTGTCTGTTGGCTGAGCTATGCATAAAAGCATGCTTTCTTCCGACATGAGCTTGACGAAAAGTGTTTTCTCCTCCGAAATCCGATATGTTGCTTCCATATTAACAGCATTCACATCCAGTGCTTTGACAAAATTGGCAAACTCGCCCAAGGTGGGCCTCAAGCTCCCATTGGGAAATAGAAGCAATGTGTATTCTTAACTTCACCACTCATCACGGCGACGACCGAGCTGCAGTCAGTGAACAAAGCGGACAGAAACAATAATTTCGGACGATTACCTACAGTGCTGCTGCCGGTTTCGACAATAGCTGAGAGAAAATTTGTAAACATTGGTTAACAAACAACAAAGATATGTACTACAGTTTTTAATGATAATAAGATTTGTTATGTCCAAATTGCTTCATGTTATATGTTTCAAACGATAAATAAACAATGATATTTAGGATTCAGAGTTCAATCCCGCTCTAAGCCACGGAACTTTCTAACACTTACCCATATATTCTGTTGATGCTGGCGCACTCATGGTTCCCTCTAAGCAAGAAGAAGTTCTCGGGATATTTTATTTTGTAGGCAAGCAGTAAGCATATGGTTTCGAGCGATTGTTTTCCTCTATCAACATAGTCTCCCAGGAAGAGGTAATTTGATTCTGGTGGGAAACCACCGTATTCAAATAGACGCAGAAGATCATAATACTGACCATGGATGTCACCTGTACGAAAGGGAAGATAAATAGACATATATAAATAGCAAACATCGTTGATTCATTGATGATAACAAATTAAATTATGTCAATTATATGTTTTAATCATTGTGCTCAAACGGTTCCAAACCCTGATCATCCTCTCAAAATTTGAGCTAATTTCATTCGGTTGATAACTGAATTTGCCCATAAATAGTTGAAGAACATGATTTTGATTTTGCAAGACAGAAGGGGGTCTTATGAAGGCCAAATCTCAAGTCTCAAGGCTACATACCAGAACGTGAGTGCATCATGGTGATCACGTCTCAAATGAACCACATGCCCCACATAACCCCTAGAACTGCTCCCATAAGCTTTCCATGCTGAATCGTGAGTCCCCTCTTTTCCCATATCATTGCATGCAAAATAATAACCCAATGCAGGTCAATTGAATATGCCTAAATGAATTAGTGACAATGATAGTATAAACAGTGATGACATTATAATATACTAATTGAATAAAATGAATATTTACATGTTAATAATGATCAAGATTTGTGAGAAGTAAGGGAAGTTGTTAGTTGATTTTACCATCACAGAGTTTGACAGTAGTGCGATGGTATATTATTATGATACTGATAAGACGAATCCTGGGAAAGCATCATCCTTTTTTTTTTTTTTTTCCTTTGGTTTGTTTTTTCCGTCGATCTTGTTTTCCGTGCTGAGCACCAATGCTACCGACGTGCCAGGAAGGCAGCTCTGGACCCTACCTATCGACCCATCAACTCATGAACCGGGGACCAACGGCTTTACTTCCCATCCGAAGGAAGGCGTGATCAGAGATGTTATGCCTCAGAACATCCCGGCGGCGCCGACTGGGATTGAACCCAGGCCTGCTGGGGTGAGAGGTAATCACGCTTACCTCTACACCACCGGCGCCGTTAAAAAGCATCATCCTAGTCTTTACAAAAACCTCTGAAATACGAGATGTTCAGTTGAACGTCGCTACTTGAATCACTGAGAGTATCTTCCGAGTCTTCGTATTCTGAATCCACAATTTCAGTGAACAATCTTGTCGTGGCTGTTTTAAACTCGCTCCAGTTATTAGTCACCTCTTGCCAATCATCCGCCGATCGATCGCTTTCTTCTACATCGTACCTTGTGCTGGTTTTCCAATTTTCTTCTTCTCCGGGATCCCATACTAAAGGGCTTTCCTGATAATCTGTTATGATGGTTCTGTTTTTATGAAAATAAAATGATGTGCTACCCCTCAGGCTATATGTTGATTCAGCGTGCAGGTAGTTAATATCATTGTCTTCTTCAAAACTTCATCGTCTTCATCTAAAGAAAAGAAAATCGCCACTCGATCAAGCCAAATTCAAAGGTAGTACCTGTGTGATATCGCATTCCAAAAGAACCAAATAAATAAACAAATTGCAGCCATTAGACTTAATTATTTAGAAAAACAATTCATTGTTAAAATCATAATTCTAAACTACACAATTATTTTATTTTGGCTAGCTTGGGTGTCCATTCAAATCCATTTTTCTCGGTTATTTAAAAAAAAAAACCCAAAGGTCACCCCTGCTTTAAACAAAAAAGGCGTTAAAAATAACCGTTTATAGATAATCATATATTTGCAGAATTGTTCTACAATACGTTTACTTTGTAGAAAAAAAATAAGAGATGAGATATGCATTAACATATTGATCATCTAGATCCGCCTTCGGATAACGGATCATTGATTCCACCACCCGGTTATAAAATATCTCGTCCTTACACTCGTCGACAAAATCGCCGTTTTCCCTGTGTCCCAACAGATTGTGATTGAAAGAAATGAATAGAGTTTTTGTAATTTTGAGGATTTTTCATACTTAATATGTAACAGATGTGTAAACAAGAAAATATTATAATGAGAGAGAGAAGGATTAGTAATTTCCATTTAATTCCACTACCTTATTTGCTTATCCTTGACAGATACGCGTATTTCGTCTACAATGTGCAGACTGCTTCAGTGTCTTGTACTAATACTCGACTGTCGGTAGGTAGTGGAATTAAATGGAAATTACTAATCCTTCTTTTTCTTTTTCTTTCGTGCTTCTACTCAAAGTTCTGTGACATGATTTTTTCTCGGTGTTTGGACAAATGAAATACTAAAGCTACCGGGAGTCAAAGATTTTTCAAATTACTGGCCTTTGAAAAAATGTCGAGAGTTTGAAAATTTTCCTGGACCATTTTTTGACATTTAAGGCTTGGAAAACATTCAAGATCTCGAAGTAAAATAGCCAGAATATTGGATCTAGAACTTTTTCGAAACTTCTGACAATTTCGAGATCAAAAAGTAGAAATATTAGTGATTCAACATCAATTTGATGTTCGCAATCGTCTGTTCGCAACTCTTCTTGTCAATCAGAATTTACACACGGATTTTTAATGAATCTTTCTAACACAAACTAGTTACCAAATCAAGCTGTGATTTTATGTAAGTTTTTAAAGTCAAATTCTTTACTCTCAACATTGGTATTAAAAAAGTTACTTTAGTGACTAAATTTAAAGCCATAGTGACTTTAGTGACTTTTTGTTGAAAAAAGTGACTTTTTAGTGACTGACTTGAAAATAGTGACCAAGTCAATAAAAAGTGCTACCAGCCTTGAATAATTGATCAGATTTCCGAAATACTTTCATTTACCGATTTACCGAACTGCGTATTGGGTCAAGAAATGCTAAAGAAAATTATTTTCTTCAGCATTCCGTGTCCTATCGCGTAGCACGTAAAAACGTAATTACAGTTGTGTTCGATAAAATAGCAGCGCATGCCGATTTCCATACAAAATGATATAACTTTGTTAACGTTTGATCAATTGAGCTGAAAATTTCTCCACAGAACTACAAATATGTTCAATTTTACGATTACAAAATACCAAGCACCTGTTGGAAAGCGAGACACTAGGTAAAATTGTTCAAAATAATAGCAGTTTTTGATTTGAATTTTTATGTACTGCAAATATTTTAAACAGTTTTAACTATTATGTACATTTATAATGTAAAATTTAAAATCTCAAAATTGAGCTTAAATGCTAATTATTAGTACTGCTATTATTTTGAACAATTTTACCTAGTGTCTCACTTGGCAGGTGCTTCCAAAAATTTTGTATTTTGTAATCGTAAAATTGAACATATTTGTAGTTCTGTGGTGAACGTTTCAGCTCAATTGATCTTAAGAGAACAAGGTTACAACTTGCCAAAGTTGACAATTTTGTATGGAAATCGGCATGCGCTGCTATTATATTGAACACAGTGTACTCTTCAGCTGCGTACCAGGCTTTATCCGAGTGAGATTTGAACTCATGACTTAGCTATGGATTCAGATCTTTAAGTGTTACAAACTAACCAAAGTATTCTACATTGTTCTGACCCGTTCTGACAAAACCTCAGGATTTTCATTGATCGATTTCCGCTCTATCTAGAAATGAGTAAAAAAAAATACACTTAACTGTACATTTTGTAGTAACAATATTACTCATAGATGGGTAAAATTTTACTCATTTAATGGGTAGTCTCATTTCCCTTTCAAAATGCGTACTTTGAAGTCATTATTGAGTATTTTTAAGGTAACCGTATACTTAAAAGGCGAAAAAAAAACTCGTTATTAAAAAAGTACCCGGGTACCCGAGCAAAGTCCAGCATCAAAATAACAGCAAATTGAAATCAAGTTTTGATATCAACATCAAACTGAAATCTTAAGTTGATTTCTGTTTACGCAATGGACAAATTTGATACCAAATGTTGTTTTCATTTTGCTGTACATTTGCTCTTCAAAAATATGTTGTTGCGGGTTTGTTTTCATTGCCTTAGCATAACATCAAATTGAATACTTGTTTTGTTATCAACAGGAAAAATTGATATCAAAAATAGTTTTCAGTTTGCTTTCACTGATAGCAGAAATAGTTTTCAATATGATGTCACAGAAAGATTTGTTTGCTCTCAATTTTGATATTTGAACCGTTAAAACGGCCAAAACGACAGCAACCTGAGTAATCATTATCAGCGAAATCACAACATCAAATTTAGATTTAAATTTGATCTCAGACTTTGCTCGGGTAATGTAACAAGACCAATCAGGTATCAGTATTTAAATCTATCCCATACCACAATGCAAGCATACAGCTGAATGAAAATAAATTAATGCGGCTGATACTGAATATAAATAATAGGTTCTTAATAGGGCTGTACGCAAACTTCGTAGACAGTTTGAAAATGATAGAAATGGTCGAATAATACAACCATTTAGTATATTCTTTTAAATATGTATGGATTATTGATACGCGAGGGGAGGGATGTAAAATCATCAATCAAAACGTGGTTTATGGACAGCCCAAAGAACATGGTCAATGATTACACACACTATTCAACTGTCATCATGATCATCATTCATCTTTATCCCTACTTGCCGATGATCATCATCATTGTTACATGTCGTTCAACAATTTTTGAATTTCTACACATTTTAAACACTTCATCAAATATTTACTTATTACTTACCACATATTTTCAATGGCGCCTCCAATTCCAAAAGAATTGGTTGTGACAAGAAAATTTCCCGGGATTTCAAACATAAGCCACGAATTTCATTTTCCGATAATTGAACATTTTTTCCTGGCCTTGCACCACGAACTGGAAAAGGAAAATCAGAGTAAAATTTTAGCCAATGATTAAATTTCACTACTGCATTCTGTTCTTTTAATATGAATCGATCAAATCCTTTTGTAATTGGTTTTCTCCTTCTATTTTTTTTTTCCAAAATCCGAAGGTGGCATCATTGAATTCTTTCGAACCCTTTGTATTGCTTATTAGTCGGGCGTTGTCCAATTCAACCAAAACATTCGTGCCAAGTTGCTGATCCTGGCAGGAAAACCTTCGAATCCACGGTAAATCGCTGCAAAAACCTTTTCATTTTCTCTCCCAAATGACTTTACCTTCCAAAAGCATAGCAATCAGATGATCGATGTTTAATGCGTCTGGGTCCGACATTTTGTAGGAATTAACTTTTTTCACTCTCGCGATATATCCTCACACTCGCTCTTCTTCCGTTATTTCTACTTCTTTATCACCTTCCTCTTACTTTCGATCTGCAGACAAATTTCGTCCACTTAACTCTGTAGAACGGTGGTCCTTAACAAATAAACCGCTTCCGTCATCTACTGAGGCCTAGATGGCTACCACCGAGCGGAAAATCGGGAAAGTTCACCAAATTTTTCACAAGAAAAGACGACGGAAAAAGCAACTACCACCACTCAGCACACAGCAACGCGGACTTGTGAGGTGGGAAGCAAAGAAGCAGCGACAGTCATGGCCCAATACGAACGTACGTGTGAGGTCGAGCGAGATCAGAAAAATTCGATATTTTTTTCATGTCGCGATATACTTGACACTTCGAATTCGAATTCTCGTTCCATGAGAATCTACACGCTATTTCAAAACTCCTCAAATTTCAGTAAGATCTACTCATTTCAACCGAAGTTAAAGTAATCAAATATTAGTAAACTATCCTAATAAAATTTGTACGGTTATTTTGCTTAACGACGTGTTCAGGGTATCATCCACAAACCAAGATTTTTCTTACAGTATGCTGTATTTTTTTTTACCGAATATGGAACAGCTGAACCACAGACAAACAGACATAACACATTGAATATTGCTCACTGTAAAACATCGTCGCTAAAACATTACCACCATCTGTTGAGTAAACTGTGGTAGGTAGTACACGTAGTACACTGAACAGATGGCGGTAGTGTGTAAACGTCAAACGCAAGGGAATTGACTATGCGCGTCACAAGTGCCGGGCGTTAGGCGACAAAATGTCTTCATCAACCACAAAAAGTTAATTTTTGCAAATTTTTTTTTAAATTTCTGGAACAAAAAAGAAAAGTACTTACTTCACCGACAAACCGACATGAATGACCATATCAAATCACAAATCATTTTTTTTTTCTAGATCAAAAAATCCTATGGTTTTGACAGTTCGGATCACTGCACATTTAAATAGGCCGTTTACGATTTTCGGATATAAATCAGAATTAAGTGTCATGCCGGTTTGTCGGTGCTTACTTTTCACAAAGTACAACCACAGACAAACAGACATAACTTTTAGAAGAAAATTCTTCAATCGTCAAGCGTATTTTGCATGCGCACTAGCACCATCTATCATCCACATTCCCAAGCATTGTTTTGCAACCGGAGCATCCCTCGTTCATGCAATTTTTTCACTAGTTACTTTTCTCTCGTTCTGTCAACGCGTCAGCTGTGTTGAATAAAAACAAAGCAGATGGAAGTCAGTGATGTCGGTTCTACGAAAATTTTCCGTAGATCTATTATTGATTGAATACTGCAGGAATACGGATCCGTAGGAAAAATTAACAGAAGGGATTTGTTTTGTTTGTTTATTGTGCTTTTTCTTTTGCTGGAAATAAGTTTTTAAATGAGGTAATGCATCACTTATTAGTGCCCTTTCTAAATATAGAAGTATCAATGTAATATGTATCAATGAATGATATTCATGGTGAAGTATTGAACATCAATAACTGGTAAAAGTTCATAGAATATCACAGTCATAAACATGATTTGTTCTCATTCCGTATCGCACACTGAGCCGGTCAAGTCGCATCGGTCTCGTTGTACGACACTATCATTTGAGTTTCGAGTTTTTCCCCACGCGAGGGTTTTTTCTCGCCAAAGTTAGTTGGCATAGTGTTTAAACAACTAGTGCGCGAGTGAGGAAGCCGTTAATGATATGCCGAGTGCTTTCATTACGGTCCAGCTTTAACCTAGCATCATCGCAACATCATCAGCAAAATCATCACCACTATCGGTACATCACCCCATCGATAGCAACAACGAAAGAGCGTCATATTGCCTACCGAGTCGACCGAGGCACACCAGCATCGAGGTTATTGACTCTGCAGCAGTTGGATCAAACAATTCGACAGTGAGCATTCATAAGGGCGAATACGCGATGATCGATTCTCTTCATCGATTTTCTCTTTGCATTGCTACAGCTAAGCGAAACAATTTGTTCAATGCAGAGTAGTAACAGGTTGTATTGGCTATCAAAAGCAACAGCAAACGCACCGAGAAACGTGAAATCTAGCGAGTTATTAACAAAAGAGAAAATCGACGAAGAGAATCGATCATCGCGTATAGGCCCTTATGCATGCTCACTGTCGAATTATATCTCTCCAGTCTGCTGCTGCCTCAGTGCAATACACTGAAACAAAGAGAATAGTTAGGAATACTATTTTGCAGAAAACACTTATTTTCAATATAACTACGCTTAATACCGTTAAATCTACCATGATTTCAGTATAGTTGACTATAAATATAATCAAATTTACTACCATTCTTTCAAAACTACTATGCTTACTCAAACGGTATAGTAGTTTTGATAGAAAAAATAGTAAAATTAAATGAATTTCGTTTCTGCACAAATCAATTGGTGGGAGTGTTTAATTTAAACCATCAATATAGTATTTTTGCCAATGGATTTTGTTTCTGTGTAGGAGGTATAAATCGTGTCGTTTGTTTTGTTTTCGCCAGTATAGCATCTCCCTTCACTATAAAAAATTCACACGTTACCTTTATGTGTTCCACACTTCGATTTGCGCAAATTGCGAAACACATCCATTTCATGTGTGAAACTTATAATACAAATTATTCCCGAACACTATAAGTTCTATTGTGGTACACTTGGATTTCATGTGTCTCACATTTTGTTATCGACAGTCTGACACTTAATCATCAAATTTCCTTCATTGAAAAGCATATTCTTGAACATATCTGGCTCGTGTTTCTTACTTTTGATAATGGATCAAAACTTCCCAGCAATATTGCATTTCATTTATAGCGAATTCGTTTATTATTCAGTTCCAACCTGGATCGGGTATCAAGATTGGGTCTGCTTGTTTTCTAGCAAACGTCAGTTTGATCGTTTGTTTTTAAAACCTGGCACGGGTCGAGGTTCGCACTGACATAAAGTTCGGGTTCGCACGGGTTGGAACTGGTTCCAACCCCGATAATAAACGAATTCGCTATTAATGATTATTTTTTTCATTATTAATTCATAAAAGATAATAAAAAAAAAAACTGCAGCTCACTCCAATCACGTAACTGTACCAGGACCTAGGAATCCAAGGATACTGTAAAATGCAAGTTTTTCAGCATTTGATGTTATTCTCATGGCGGTAAGCTCCAACTCGGATTAACTTTTAATACCGTCCTAGTTTGGATGATCTGCGAATTGTTTGCATAGCATCGTGTTGAATAACGCTGATGTCGACATCAAAGCAGCCGGACATTCTTGATCGGGATTTAATCCGAGGATAATACCGATTGGAGCTTACCGCCATCAGTGATTAAATAGGATTTACTTACCATTCCTGATCAGTTTTCTGTTTTAAAGATGATCCAGCCAAGGGCTGAATATCTCTATAATGAAGCCAAAAATAAAGTTTTCTTTCATACAGAACTGACCACCTACTTCACACGCTAACTTGAAAGTACCCATTAATGGTTGAAAAAGACCCATTTTGAAGAAAAGTGGCTTAACTCATTAAATGAGTAAATTTTTTACCCATTAATGAGTATCTGTTACCCATTAATGAGTAATTGTTAATCATTAATGGGTAACAGATACTCATTAATGGGTAAAATTGTTTAATCATTAATGAGTTAAGCCACTTTTCTTCAAAATGGGTCTTTTTTCACTCATTAATGAGTACTTTCAAGTTAGCGTGCACACCGGCTGACAAATTAATTGCTACTGGGAAAAGTAATTATTGCCAGTAAATTAAACCGCAAATTAATATTGTGGAGTACCTGTAAACTCTCGTAAAGGGTCATAACTTTAGCAGCAACACATTAGCATTGATTGTTAGGCCGTTCGCAATGCTGTTGTATTTTACAAGGACTGTTTCAATTTGAAACTAGAACAGAAACGCACCTCTCGCAGTGCTGAGTTGCAGTTTCATTATTCGAGCACTATTTTGCACCAGATTTGCAACTGCTCGACTATTCTGTTTTATTTCTGAGCGAGTTTGGAACACGAATGGAACTCTGTTTCAAATTTCTTTGGATGTGTTAGAGATGTTTCGAGAGCTTCACAAATAAAAACGGAGAATTTCATAGAGAACAGTAAGGCCGTTCGCAATGCTGTTGTATTTTATAAGGACTGTTTCAATTTGAAACTAGAACAGAAACGCACCTCTCGCAATGCTCAGTTGCAGTTTCATTATTCGAGCACTATTTTGCACCAGATTTGCAACTGCTCGACTATTCTGTTTTATTTCTGAGCGAGTTTGAAACACGAATGGAATTTTGTTTCAAATTTCTGTATGTATTTAAAGATGTTTCGAAGAGCTTCACAAAAAAACTCTATGAACTTCATAGAGAACAGTAAATTTTATGGAACTTGGTGATTACAAACATCTTTTAGAACTGTGCGTTGCGCTGATCGTGTTGCAGTTTTATTTTTGACAGTTTCAAATTATAGAATTGACGAGTAGTTAAAAACAATTTTGAAACTCAGCATTGCGAACGGCCTTACTTTGTTTAATACTTCTTTTGACACTCGTCCTGCTACTGATGAGATCCATGTGCCATACACGTTAAATGCGATAGTAGAAAACAGTAGCGCAGATCCTATACTGATCCCATGAATTTCAATAACTAAATACACGAAATTATGGTGTGATTTGTTTTGATTTCACCGACAGCTGGGAGATGTGATTTTTGAACATTGATTTCATGAAATGCGAATGAAATTCACATGATATCATGGTGACTGGCAATTGGAAAAAGTCATATTTGAAAACACATGAATGGAACATGTGGGTTTTTTTGAGTGTTGTTTCCCTAGTCCAATATTAGACTGGTATTTAATTAGGGTGATCCAAATAATCCATTTTTTTTTCTTGTTTTTTTATTATTATTTTTTTTGTATTACTTAGGGTGATCCAAAACGCGTTACCGTTGATGACCGGAAGCAGGCTAACCAAATTGTTGCGTGCGAGCTTTTTTCTTTGGAATACCGAGTCTACATACCCAGTAGTGAGGTAGAAATTGAAGGAGTGGTCACCGAAGCGAGTTTGACTAGTGATGATTTCATGGGTTCCGATTTCTTCAGAATCTTTAAAAACCGTGCTTTACCGAAGGTGAAGATATTGGACTGCCTTTAAATGCAGTCAGTATCCATCGTAGGTTAAAAAAATCGTATTCCTTGTCGAACTCGTTCCGTGTGACCTTTTCGGGTTCAGCGTTACCTCACTACGTCGCTATAG